CATAAAATCAAAATTATTCCTCAAACACAGATAATAAATTTCATTTTAACACCACTACGGCTAATATTCCTTGCGTACAATCGATAGTTCAAAGCCAATAACCATTTAAGTATGAACTAACTAGAGAAATTGCTTCCAAATTGGCGTTCCACTCCTTCAACTGCTGCTGCGATGGTGCTCCCCTGCTCTGCGACCTTCTCCATTCTTAGATTGGTCTTAGATTTCAGGAGCTGAACATTCAAAAGCACCCGGAAAAATCTGGAGATTGTTAATTGTCATGGACATCTCTGGCATTCCATTGAACAGGAAATAAAACCTTGTGTTTTAATCTTCGAAGCACAAAGGTCCGCAGCACTTGGTGAAGACGATTTATGATCAAAAGATTCTCCTCTTCAGAGAGTAAAGCCTAGTGAAAATGAGCATTAAGCACAAGGAGTTAAAAATTTAGAAAAGGAATAAATGGCAAATGGCCGTCTATCATTGTAAAAGTAGGAGGGGCAAGAAGCTTACTTCATCCGGTGATTTGTCACCATTACGTTCAAACGATTTATTAAACCATGGGGAAAAATCTTCTGATGAGTTAAAATTATTGGGCAACAAGAAGTTAAGCAGTGCCAACAGTTTCTCAGGATTGTTCTACATAGAAGACAATGGGGGAGAGTAAATATATTTTAGCACATACTAACACAAAAGGGTGAATATTGATAGTAGACTTGTGTATTACACAAAGTTGTGTGCTGAGAATAAAGTTACATGTTTATGCAACATATACTAAATAATGACTAATGTGTTTTGAATAAGTGATTTGACTATATGAGACCTGCAAAGGAGTACCAGTCAACAGCAATCTGTGATTACTATGATAATGCTTCAACTCAGCATTTAACTTGCAGGAAGCATTCTTAATGCGATGCCCCTGAAATTCAAAATAACATATAAGCAGCCAAAAATTAAAAAGGAACTGCAGAAAAATAAGAAAGAAACTGCTAGCTGTTCACATTGCTTACTTGAACAGCTTTCGGCATTCTGCAGGCAGCCCTGAATAAACAATTTTGTGGATACTTGGTAAGCAGAAAATATTATTATCTCTAACAGTAACTATCTAGATATGGACTTGGTAAGCAAAAAATTAAGCTTATTATCATTGATTACCTACTTCTTGCAAGAAGTCAGCCACCCTTTCCTCTCTGGGCATTTGAAACCCATGGATTCAAAAAAATCGAGCACATATTCTCTAGGGCCCTGATAACAAAACTATATCATCAAATAATTCATAAGTTTCATAATTTGGATTAAAGAATAATTTTAGGGCACATAATTTTCATAGTTAGATGGAAGATAAGACGCATCTTCAATTTTTTTTCCAATTATCCGGCACAGAACTATTGTCTGATTGTGCCAAATGAAAATGCACGACCCTGTACAGATCTAAAAACTTATTCTCACATCAAAAAGGGCATCAAGATCAGCACCACTGAAGCTAAATTTCTTCAACGTTCTCTTCTTTGGCTGTCCTGCCGCAGTCTCTGGATCAACATCCGCCTGTACAAATACATACAAATACACAATCAGAAAGTGAAATATAATATATCAGTTAGTCAGTTAGTCTGTGAGTAAAGAAGAAAAGAGGAGATTTACCATTGCTGTTTGAGGAGATGGAGTTCGAGGGAAGAGGAGGCTCTGGGGATTGGGATTCGTAGTGATTGAACGGACAGGTTCCAACGGGTTTTGAAAAGGAAGCCCATGGCCGATTCAAGTCGGAGAGGATCCGTATGCCACCGGCGTGGCTGCTCGAGGGTTTGAGGGTTTCTTATTTTCTATGAATTGGGGATATTGGTAGAAGAAGTGTGTAGAATTGGGGTTTTGAGGCTATCTGATTATCATAATTCTTGAATAAAAAAATGTCAATTTTAATTTATTTATTTTCAACAATTTAAAATATAACAACGTTTATCAAACGTTGCGAAAAGTCCCACCTTTAGCAACGTTTGAAAAATGATGCTAAAAGTCACTTTTCACAACGTTTATCAAACGTTACGAAAAGTCTTACCTTTCGCAACGTTTATCAAATGTTGCGAAAGAACGTTTATCAAATGTTGCGAAAGGTAAGACTTTTTGCAAAATTTGATAAACGTTTTTAAATGTGACTTTCAACAACGTTTGATAAATGTTGCAAAAAGTCTTACCTTGATAAACGTTGCAAAAGGTAAGACTTTTCGCAACACTCAATAAATGTTGCTAAAGGTGTCTACCGCAATATTTTTCTAAAAACGTTGCTAAAACTCATTTATTAATACCAATGGCAACATTCACTTACTAAAATGTTGCCAAAAGACCCTTTTGGCAACATTTGTTGACAAATGTTGCCTTTTTAATGTTGCGAATGACTATTTTTGTTGTAGTGATAAAAGAGTTGCATTTGCCAAAAC